CTGTATTGTGTACCCGAAGCTTTTCTACTCACTAGTTAGTACAGGACAGTGATTCTCAACTATTTTGATTTAAGACTTCCCTGAATTTTAATGGTACCCCAGAGGATAGTTTGGGGCTAGACTGGAAAGTAGCTTCAGAAGGATAAACCTGATGTAGGCAGGAGGAGCACCCAGTCCTTTTTAAGGCGTTAGTGGCACCACTGCTGTAACCATGCGAAACTCCCAAATCTCCTGATAAGCCTGATACAAGTAGGAGCGTTCTCTGTTGCCTGTATTTTACTAGTTGCAGCAGCAACACGGATGCAGACAAACTCTAAGGGTCATCAATTTCTCTCTCTCTTTTTTTAATATGCATATTTCTAGTTAATGGTTTAGTGGCAGGTATTAACTAGTCCTTGTATGCAGGACTGACCATGCTCTTCTCACCTGCAGCATTCAAGGGTAGACAAAATATAGGCTGTGGGCTGGAACTGGCCCACTAAGGGATTTTATCTGGCCAGCAACAGGTCCCTTGGCCCCACCTGGCCCAGGAGTTATGGGGCAGCCCAGGCCATGGTGCGTGTGTGGCTGGTCCCGCCATCCCCGGGTGCAGGGTGGAAGTGGTGCGGCAGCTGAATCTGGTTTTCTGGCAGTCCCTGCAGCAGCGGGGCTCACTGCCTGGCTGCCAATGCCAGTCCACCCTGTACCCACCACTGGGGATGCCGGATGGAGCGAGCTGGTACATGGGATGTGTGTGGATACTGGCCCCAGGACTACTGGACAGGGTCTGGCATTTGGGATGAGGCTATGGGTGGGTAGGGAGTGGCATCCGGGGGCAGGTTGGAGCTGGGATTGAGATCATGGGGTGGTGATGGCACAGGGCCCAGGCAGAGCGATGATCTACTCGCAACACATCCCTAACTGGAACTGGCATCTGTTGCAGGGACATGCAGGCAGTGGATTGCAGCTCCGCCTTGGTCCAGCTCTTGGCCCTACACTTTCACTGCTCTGCGATTCCTGGCCCTGGCTTCCCATCCCTCTTCCAGACACTGTTCTTGTTCACCTGCGGCCCCATCCCATCTGTCTGGCCAAGCATACCCTGCCTGTAGGGGTACCCGGCCAGTTTCTATGGAGACCCAGCCCACACTCCAACAGCTCATGGAAACTGTTTAAGTGGCCCTCCTGCCCAGATAATTGCCCACCTCTGCTTTGGTAGTTGATCTAGCTGTTTGCTTCTCACTGATTTCTTGCTACTGGAGCTGGTCATGGAATGCTTTGGGGCTGCAGTTGAGAAAAGTTAATAAGTCAGTGGCATTTGCGCCCCTCAGGCAGTGGCTCCCAATCTCTTTTTGCTGTGACCGTAAATCTGGGTTGTGACCCCCGCCACTGACTCGCTCATGCCCGGCAGTGCCAGCAGAGCCTGGGACAGGATCGTAGGGGGCAGTGGTGGCGAGAGCTGTGCAGACCGTGCACTGGGGAGCCCTCCAGGTTGGAGGGGTGGGGCCCCTCTGACCCTGATTTGGGTCGTGTCCCTAAGTTGGAAGCCAACCTGCCCTAAGGGAGAGAAGTAAAATGGGAGGTGGTAGTGGCCTTAACTTCACAAGTGTGACCAGCTTAGGGTAACTGGCTCAGAAGATAACAAGATGGTCAGATACAGCAGGTAGTTGCATGTAAAATACATTTTCCATCTTGAAAGCCTGTACTGAAGTTGAGTGCATAAGCCTGGATCCATCCTTTTGTCTTAAATGTTGTAATAATAGACAATACTTGAGTCTAAAATGCAATTTTGTCCACCCCCTTTTGTTGAATTCTTCATTACTTGTGTTGGGAAATTAGGGTCTAATGTTAGGATTAGGTGTTTGTTGTTTTGGGGGGGGGGGGGGGTTGTTCGTTTTTTTTTAAGCCAGAGAGCTCTAATGATTGAATCTGAAGCAGCAGGAAAACTAAGCTATCTCATTTCTCTCACTTTTGCCTGACTTCTAAATTTTCTTCCAAACCATGCTGTCACTTGTGAAGATAACATTATAGGGATGCATAGGGATACCTGCTTCTAATTTGTCCTGCTTATTCTGTATATGAAGGAAGGAGTAGGCAAATAGGCTTCCTAAAATATGGCTTTAGACCATCTTCTGGTTTCAGCACTGAGAGAGAGTTCAGAACCTGCTTCCTGATGCATTTATTTTCTTTGTTGCTCCATATTCATTATCTCGGTCTTTAGGAATAATGGCATTAGCTGGGGGTTGATACAAGAGAGCTGCTGCTCTTTCCCCAATCTTGATTTGGCCCTTTATTGCTTGAGGGATTAAGGACAGAGGGGCAACAGGCCCTTCAGTTCTTTAGCTAGATGACAAAACTTCTACGTGGAGAGAAATGGAGTATTGCGTGGGGATTTATGGGACACATCTATACTCAAGTGTGGCTTAAAGTCAGCTTTCACTAATAAACTATTTGGTACTTATATTTCACAATCAAATCGTGGTAGTGCTGCAGTATGCCTTTACAACACTTAAATTATCTATCTTGATTTTTTTTATGGCCAGCACCAAATGTACAATAGATAAGGATCCAAGTTGTAAACTGTGTGCGCCAGATATTTCTGAATGGCAGGAAACCTTTGAACTGTTACCAATAAACTTAAGGTTTATGGCAAGCTTACCCAATGTTGTATACTGCTGAAAAGCTCCAACTCTAATTTTTGTGGAATATTTGTTTCTGGCTTTCGTTATGTAAGGGCATAATTCCAAATGGACCCTCAGAATAGCTGTGCTTCTTGGTAGTGGTGATTCCTTAATGTAGTAGTATCTTGGAACAGTAGAATTTCCTTGGGACCTTCACTTTGTTTGAAGGTCCAGATGCAGACTTTTCTGGTTTTATGGAGGCTAGTTGTTTTGCCTTGAATCTCTGCTCTTACTATGCTTTGAATGCTCAGTTTACAGTCCTATTAGTGATTTGAAAGGTGTAATGTTACATTGCCGTTTCATTTAATGTGCACCACTTTTTTAGATGGCTTTTCTCAAGTGTACTTTATTTTTAAAATGGGTTAGCATCATGGTCACTTATGCAGAATAACTATTGGGAGCAGGCCAAATAAAACATGCATGTGCTTTTAATTTCTAAAAGGTTTATAAGCAAGTTCAGTTATGGCAAAACCCTATACAAGATGGCAATTTTTTTAATTAGCTGACTGGAAACAAAAGTAAAGATTTAAGTCATCTGGGCGAACAGGTACAGAATAAAGAACTCTTAAGTAGCTTTTGAAGGGCCAGGTGTATGGCTAGTAGTTCTGCTGTGTGCAGTAACAAGGCACATGTCATAAAGGGGTAAGCTAGACATGTTGTTTCTGTGTGCTACATCCTCAGGAGAAAGTCTTGCCCTGCCCAGGTCCCTGTTACTAGTCTACAAGGTGGTGCTGCTGACTTTGAAAGGAAATAGATTGCAGTGTGAAGAATGAAAATGGGCTGGGTTTTTTTTCTAGCTCATGCATTGAGCTGCCTTGGTGGGGAGGGGGAAAGGGGCTTGAAAATGTTATAAAGGAATTTATCAGTGCTAGTTTCAAAGTGTTGTCGCTGTAACAATATGATTTGTTCCATCTAGTGGCTCCAGTGTACTAACGTCTAAAATGGCATAGTCTTGAGTGAACACCCCTTAATAATTTAGGGGAAGCCTAATGTACATCCATCAGTAGTTGCTGGGGAAGCAT